GAACAGAACAGAATAGAAAATATAGAGAATGGAATGGAGTGGAATAGAATAGAACTACAATAGAACAGAACAACACAGAATGGGATGGTGTGGAACAGAACAGAATAGAATTCTTTATTGGCCAAGTGTGATTGGACAGACAAAGAATTAGTCTCCAGTGAATAAGCTTAATGTGCGTAATATAATCATAAGATACCAATAGGGAAAAGTAATAGAAAAGATGAGAAGGTAATAGTAACATAGCACTGTTAGCATGTACCCTACTACATGGGTAAATATCCTTAGACATAAGACAGCACTGTGGTAATTAGGTGTTCAGCAGAGTGATGGCACGAGGGGAAAGAAACCATCTTTGTGTCTAGTTGTTTTGCAGTGTTCTCAGGTTTGGCAACTTTAGGAACTTTTTTAGCTTCCGTTCTAGTTTGGAAGGATGACTAACCCTTAGATCTGCCACATGTGAAGTTCCTGAGCCTCGAGACAAGAGTTCAAACAAAACCCATTCATTTATTAGGATCAACATCTTAGCATTACTTCTGTGGAGCCTAAACTGACTTTCGCTTAATTGCGTTTGAACTTTACCCTCCAAACTTCCCCCTTCTGTCCTGCCATAAATCATATTCTCCAACTAGATTGTAGAAATATGAGACCAAAGATATGCATGAAATTCTACTCCCTTCTAAAGTTGATAGTAGTCATGGAAACGCTTTAAACGTTGACATCATGAGCCTATGTAATATTTTTTTTAAAATTGCAACAGGATACTGCACAATCTCCATTCCCACCCCACTCCAGGGGAAGGATACTGCAAAATTCCCATTTCCACCCCACTCTGAAGCGAGCCAGAGGTGGCATTTGCCGGTTCTCTGAACTACTCAAAATTTCCACTACCGGTTCTCCGGAAGCTGTTGGATTTCACCCCTGCTTTGAACAAATTCACATTTGCCCAAGGGATCTGTCTTGGGTCCGGTTGCATTTATACCCCTAGAAAAAGTTGGATCTGGGGGAGGATGAAGTGCAAAACTTGAAATTGTTCTGCTGTGTTCCCACGCACTTTTGAGAAGGTAGGAGGCAGTTAACAGTTCAATTTGCATGAGCAATTACTGGGGAGGTGGAGGAGGCTTTTAGCGAGGGAGGGAGTGATTCTGAAGACAGCCTCATACATTTTCAAGGGCAACTGTCTTTTTCTATCCTTGATTGCTGAAGCAGAAAAAAAAACAAAGAACATGTGATAATTTTCCAAGCATAATACTGGAGCTTGAAGCAGCTGTTCCCAGCCAGGCATTCTTCAGATGTTTGAGGATTCCAACTCCCAGAATGCTTAGCCGATGGACCCAGAAGAGATGGTTATCAATATTCTAACACGATATTCTCCAAACTTGGCAACTTTGAGACTTGTGGATTTCAACTTCTAGAATTCTCAGCCAGCTTTGCTGGCTGGAGGATTCTGGAACTTGAAGTCCACCAGTCTTAAAATACCAAGTTCGTTCTAACACCTCTGGCTGGGGAACAATTTTGTGTGTGTGTGTGTGTGTGTGTGAATATGTTTTATTTCCATT